CAACCTGTCGATCGCGAGCTACCGGTAGCTCGCGGAGGCAATTCTGGTAGCTCTCACAATGATTTTAATTTAAAAAATACAAACTGCAAAAATCAGAGAAGCATCCGAAAATTCCACAAAAAAATTGTCATAATATTAAACATAAACAGCGGCAACGTAGCGGTGAGCGATCTGCCGCTGACGCCATCAAGCTAGAATCGGCTAGAACCGACCAGCCGGACCAGCGCGTTAGTGTTCGAGAACGATTAGGATTGCTTTGAACGGGATAAATACGCACGGCGCGGCGACATTGCGCTTAGTTTAAAACTGAACGCGTAACCAACGTCCAGCGGTTGGGTTAGTAGAGAACAACAAAAAATAATATTATGGCAAGCAGTTGTAAGAAGGTAAAGACATACCACTTTCATTGGGAATGGGAAGAACAATACTTTTTTACAGAAGTTAAAAATAAAAATGTGTGTTTGTTATGTAATACTTCGATCTCCGTTGCTAAAAAAGGAAATATTAAGAGACATCATAAAACTGTACATTCTAATTTTGAAAAATCATTCCCACTACATTCTGCCGCCAGAAAGGAGAAACTGAAACATTTAAAAAAGCAGTTAATTGGACAACAATCAATATTTTTAAGAACAGTCGAGAAAAATAAGGCGGCAACTGAAGCATCGTACCGTGTGTCCCAGATAATTGCACAAAAAAAGAAACCTTATGAAGACGGGGAAATGATAAAACAGGCGTTTTTAGAAGCTGCTGATTCGTTATTTGCCAACTTTAGAAATAAAGACGAGATAGTTTCAGCTATAAAATCTATGCAATTTTCTGCTAATACAGTGATGAGACGTGTAGAAGTAATGAGCAATGATATTTTTTTACAGTTTTGAACTGACTTAGATAACTATGTTTATTTTTCACTTCAACTGGATGAATCAACAGATGTCGTTGACACTGCCCAGATGGCCGTTTTCGTCAGGATGGTTTTTAGTGATTTTACGATTAAAGAAGATCTTTTGAAGTTTATTTCACTGAAAGGACACACTACTGGACAGGAGTTGTTTTCTCATTTAAAAAATATTATTTCTTCCGAGAAAATTCCAATATCGAAAATGTTAGGCTTGACAACCGATGGCGCTCCAGCTATAGTGGGTTGTGATAAGGGTCTGGTGACGTTATGTCGTAAAGATGAAACTTTTCCGCAATTTCTCTGTTACCACTGCATTATCCATCAGCAAGCATTATGTGGAAATTTCCTGAAACTAAACAACGTTATGAAACTGGTGTTAAAAATTGTGAACAAGATTAGAGCTCAAGCGTTACAAAGAAAATTATTGAAAATCTTGGCCGATGAAGTTGACTGTCAATACGGGGACTTACTCCTTCACTCTAAAGTCCAATGGTTAAGTAGAGGACGGGTGCTGAAACGTTTTAATGATGTCCTATCTGGCATAGTTTAATTTTTCAAACAACGCGATGAACCGACTCCGGAACTAGAAAATTCAATTTGGCTTAGAGATTTTGGTTTTCTCGTGGACATTACAGAGAAATTAAACGAACTTAATTTGCAGCTTCAGGGGAGAGACAAAGAATTAGCGGAAATGATTTCTGATATAAAAGCATTTATCAAAAAGCTGGAGTTTTGGGAACAAAACCTAATTAACAGGATGCTGAGCATTTTCCTATTCTTTCAGAAAAAATATCTCAAAATCCATTATAGAACCCTACGACAGCAAAAATCGTTTTAAGGATTTCAACGAAATGGCTTTAGTAGCGCAGTTGGTTGTTTCACCCTTTATGGAAATTGCTATCCAACAGTTTGCAACTTGTGTTGTGCAGAACTTTGGCGAAGACATCGCTGCAACAGAAATGGAAGTAATTGAGTTTCAAAATGATTTAGCCTTAAAATCGTTAGTCTCAAGTACCAAATGTATCTGGCCTATTGTAAGTAAAGACAAATATTCAGTTCTATGCCGTGTTGCCTTAAAAGTGAAAGCATTATTCAGTTCAACCTATTTGTGTGATTCTTCTTTTTCCAATATGAAGTTTATTAAGAACACATATCGCAATCGACTTACAGATGAACATTTGGATAATTGTTCAAATTGCTGTATCAAATTATACTGCAAACATTAAAAAAAATATCGATGAGTCTGAGTGTCAGCCTTCTCATTGAACGTGCTTTTTTATTTTTCAGTGTTTATGTTCATGATAGTGCGTTACTTTTTTGTTGTTATTATTAACTATTTTTAAATCTTACGTGACATGCCGTTGTGGCTGGATAAAAGTTTGAGTTTATTTTTCAAACACCTTCGTTTGGTAGGTAGGAATGTAGCTATGAACAAGTACGTACTAGTAATATTAGTTATTTTGTTATTAGTTTATTATTAGTATTTATGTATTATGTATTACCAGTTAAATAGTAAAATAAATACATATAATGATAAATTAACTGTGGATTATTTCATCTACGTTGCGTTACGTGGCTTCCGTGTGGGTAGCTCGCTGTTTATTCCAAAATTAACAAAGTAGCTCAACACATTGAGAGGTTGGCGACCACTGATTTAAGGTGTTTAAGGAACAATTGGTCAATTTCGTACTTGTCGTGATCAATTGTCCCAGACATGCTCTATTGGATTTAAATCAGGACTTCGAACTGACCAATCCAATGTGGGAATACCAACTTCGTCAAAATACTGACGAACAATTTAAATTGTCACCAATGAATGGACCGTAAGGTACAACATAAAGTCCAAGAATGTTCGTTACATATCTTGCAGCTGTTAAATTTCCTCCTACAACTGGTACTAACACTGTACAAGCCGCAAAAGAAATTCCTCCCCACATCATAACGGAACCACCACCAAAGGGTTCCGTTTCTCTGATGTTACACTGAAAGTATCGTTCGCCATCACGCCTGTAGACTGGAATTCGTCGATCAGATGAAAACAGGCTGAATCTAGATTCATCAGAAAACAGAACATTGGACTAATCGTCTATATCCCAATTCACATGATTTCTGGCAAACTCCTACCGTGCAACACGATGCTCCCTGGTAAGGCGTGGACATAAGTCGGCCACCCTGGCTCTAATTCTTCCATTCCGAAAACGATTTCTTATTGTTTGCACAAAAATTCTTGGGTTGCGAGCAACGGCTAGTTCGTTTTGGAGCATTCGCGCTGTACAGTGTCTAGTTCGAAGAGCGGTTAATGTTAAAAATCGGGTGTCTATCGTACTGCCCTGTTTTTCTAAACCGCGCAGCTACCCTGAAAACTGTTGATTGTTTAACATCAAAAGCATTTGCAATGCAACGTTGACTACGTCCTTCTTCAAGTAATGTAATGATTCTAAAATTTTGGCCACGAGCCGCCACTGCTAGATTCTTAATAGTCTCAACCTTTTTTCTTACTGATATAACAATATATATAAAACGATGTATGGTCAACGTCAGACAGCAACTATAAAATTCCTTAATAACCAACACGATGACTATAATAACTACATAAAATATTGAAAAGTACTAACACTATTTGAATCAACAGCTATTGCTAGTTTTACTCCATTTTATTTATTTTTCTGATAAGAAATAAAATAAACGAAAACGAGAATCTTGTTCGTGTAATCCCAACGGGGTGTACGATAAAGGGATTCGTTTTTTTATCTCAACGTCTACCAACCCTTCATTCTCTGACTCAACTAATCTTAAAATGATAGCGTTTACCACTGTGCATTTTGCATTCAAAATAGGCATTAATGAATACAATGAACACATTCCTTTCTCTGTATTCAACATTTTATTTAATCTCATGAATAATTTTGTTCGCAGTGTCTTTGATTTAGATTCAGCAGCCATTAAGGATTAGAATTAAGTGGAAATCTATTAAGAGTCTGCTTTTATCACCTTCCATCTTTTTCTCTCTTGGGAGACAATTAACTTCGTTATTGTTAAACATACATTTTAGGGCAATCAAATTGATCTAATTATTTTAAAAAGGTTAAAGGGTAAATCTATGATTTCTTCGTAAGGGTTTATTGAGTTTTTCAATTTTGCGTTATTGTTACCTAATAAAATGACAGAGATAACACCTTACTCTGGATTTAACAGGCAACAATTTGAGCGACGTGTTTTTAGCAGCTTTTGCTATTTCTGGAGGCGTACATTCGGAACACTAGAATCCTTTTTTTGCGAGCTCAGTACAATTTTACAATAAAATAAAATTTTACAAAATGACTGCTTGTGTGTTTGACAATTAATACCACAGCCCTACTTAATGTAATTTTTCAAATTTTTAAACTTACCTGTTAGGTTTAGTATAATCACAATAGCCATGAAGAATAAGTTTTCCTTCACTTTCTTTTAAATGCATTAACCAGTAATCTTCATAACACTTAATTTTAAAGTTTGAATTATCTTGTAGACACTAGTATGTATTTGAACACAAATCACAATAAACTTAAAATATTTTCAAACTAATAGACACCTACAGAAAGGTGTATTGTAAACACTAACATAGACATAACCTCAAAAATGCACATTGTCGTATTTGAAACCGAAAATAACACTATAGAAAAGAAGAAAAAATTATTTTCTTTCCAGAAATACCTTTATAGAAAATTTTGTTTCAATATTCGATAAATAATAGTGAGTAAACATGTTTTATTATTATTTTATAATTTTAAATATAATATAAAAAACTTTATTGCTCATTTGTTATTATATAAAAATTTGTAATGACAATTATAATAACTTTGACTTACATCTCACAGGTCATAGGACGATATTTTTTACTTTTCAATACATGTCTTTTGCTATTTTTCAATACGCGTGTGATATAAGAACAAATAAGTGTGCAAACTATCTTTTTCGTATGTGGTCGTAGGAAAATATTTGTATATATAAATAGAATGAAATGAACACAACATACTAAAAACAATTTTTAAGAGTTGTGGTGTCCAAGTTGTAACTTTTTATGGTTTATTCTATTTTATAACTTTATTTTTTCTTTCAGAACCCATTAAATTCGGAATAAACCGACTAGTATCAAAATCAGAAGACGAAGACGAAAATGGCAACAATAACAATAACAACTCAAAATCCTACAAAAGAGAAGATAGTTACTACAGCGGAGACGAACGATCATCGCCGAAATATAACAACCACAGCAAATGGGAACCAAACTCACCTAGACCGTCACCTAGTACATCGCCAGAACTAGAAGTGGACTCTCCAATTCATTCGCGGTCGAATTCTCCGTTTCAAAGACCTTCCTCGGTTACTGAGATTCAGAAAATAGATGTATCAAGTAAAAAATCGGAAGCTTTTTCAGTTAGCGCGCTTTTAAGGCCGGACAATCCTAAAAAAGTGGACAACCCTTGTATTCAAGAAACGATATCAGTAACGAGGTCATACCTTTACCCACCTTTCTTAGATTTTGTTAAAGATGCACAATTAAAATCGGCTCAAGAATACACGTCGCAATTCTTGCCAAGGCATTTAGTACCATCGGGATTTTTTCCTTCTAGCCTTTATCCCCAAAAAGAAGGCGAAGAAAGAAGTTTTTTACCCACCCCAACGTCCTTATATTTTAGCGCGATGGCGGCTGCTATGGCTTCGGGACAATCTCAACCCGGTAGTTATCCAGCGCCTCCTACTGCCGAAGAATTATACAGATTGAGGCATAGTTTTATGAATAATTCTTCTGGAATTCATCCGCATCATCATCATTTCCTTATGAGGCCGGGGATGATGCCTTTAGGAGATGTTTATTCTTGTATTAAATGTGAAAAAATGTTTTCCACGCCGCACGGATTGGAGGTCCACGCCAGAAGGTCTCATAATGGTAAAAGGCCTTTTGCTTGCGAGCTCTGCAATAAAACGTTCGGACACGAGATTAGCTTAAGTCAACATAGGTGAGTAGACTGTATTTAGAAAGAACTTTTCCTAATTTTGTAAGCATTCTCATAAAGCATCAATCATATTTTCTGTTATATTAAAGTTATATTGCACAATTACTTATTTTGGGTTATGTGCTGATATTTTATATTATTTTTAGTAGATTACAGATCATTCTTCTTAAACATATCAAAATTATAATTAAATTGATTTTGTTTATCAGAACATAGTAGCGTTATGTTTTAAGTTTATAAGAAAAAACTTAATTTATAGTGGTTTTCTTTTTTTTATAGAGCTGTGCATAACGTAGAGAAAGTCTTTGAATGTAAGCAGTGTGGGAAGACTTTCAAGAGGTCATCAACTTTGTCAACGCATTTATTGATACATTCCGATACGAGGCCTTACCCTTGTCAGTATTGTGGTAAAAGATTTCATCAAAAATCAGATATGAAGAAACACACCTATATTCACACTGGTGAGTTTTCTGTTTTAATTTTCAATTTATTTTGTGTATTTTCTTGTATGAATATTACTAAATAATACAATATATTTTAAACTAATTCCTCTGAAGGATTTCCATGAGTTGAATCCCCATAAATATTAAATACGGCCCTAAGGCACGCTCACCCAAATGGACTGTCTCTTGAAGCCACTGGCTGCAACCATCTCCATGTGAAATGAAAGCGCGACAATTTCATAAAAGAACACTTAATTGTGCACAAAACGCTACACGTAAACTTTGTACATATTTACATTTTTGTTTCTTATTACTAACTACTGCTTACATAATTACTAGGACTTTATAAAATCGTTGCTCAAAGAATTTTTTTTATATACATGTGAGAGCCGATCCGTTATGTTAGGAAGCTCGAATCGCTCTACCGGCTTGCCGGCTTTTTAATTTTTTTATGACAGAGATGGACATATGATTACGTCAGTTCGACCAGTTCTTCGCACGCGAAAATACATGGGTTTGGTCACGTCCGCATGTAAATGGCCGTTATAAATTACCACCTGGCTTTTGTGAGCATAGGACCGTCTTTTGTATGTTTCAAAATTCTTTATTTTGGAACATCCTCTATAAAGAAGAAATTATGAAAAAGCTGAGAATTGAAGAAAATATCTGGTGTCTAACACATGGCTTTCCTATCTAGTTATTACAGGCATTTTCCGGTTATTTTGTACAACATATTGTAACACCTCTGTAAATGTTTAGAGGATAAACTAAATATATACATTTTCCACGTATATATATTTTTCTATTAAAAATTTAAATTTTGTCCTTTTCCTAAAATTTGTCCATTATGGTTCATTTTAGAGAAATCATGTATAAAACAAAAAATATAGAGATCGATATTGCAAACAACTTTTAGTTCACCAATTTTCTTAAAAATCAGAATTTTGCACATTTTGTCAAATTTTTTGAAAGCTTGCATGAGGAATTTAATTATACAAAATCTTCCTCTACGTGGCCACATTGAAAAACTAGCACTTCAAGATGGTATAAATGTAGAAAACCTATTATCTTTACTTAGACATGTAGCTCAGTTTTATCCGCTACTAGTAAATCATCTTAAACATGCCACAGAAACTCCAAAAACTGTCTCATATTTGTCACCACAGATTCAAAATGAATTTTTTTATCTTCTGGCATCTCCAGAATCAACTAAAAAACGATATTAAAAGAAATAAATATTATAGACTTTTGTTTGTTTCAACTCCTTATATCTCTCATCGAGAACAAATGTCCCAAGTCGTTAGGTATGTAGATGTTGATTTTATCAATAAGAAAGTTTCCATCATAGAATCTTTTTTTGGGTTTTATTGAAATACATGCTAAAGATGCAGCCTCGATCGAAAATACAATTTTAAAGAAATTAAATTCCGATGAAATTTTATTAACAAATTGCAGATCACAATATTCCAAGTGTCATGTGCAATTTCAAATGCATTCTTTCCAGCTATAACCGAAAACGGTCCAGAAGATGATGTATTGTGCAATCGTGTTTTAGAACTTATTAATAGGCCAAATAATTACTAGAAAGAGTCATTGAAGAAAATCTATTGAGACGTCGCATCAATTGGCCACTTATGGATGGTTTCTTGGATCTTCAAGATTTTCTAGTTCTAACACAGAATGAAATTCAAGACTTGACTCATGGAACCCAGCAGATTCGGTTAGTCTATTGTTACAGTTTAGCCCACCTCAACAACGGTCAATATTTAGTGAGACTTCATCTTGAACCTGCCGGAAATGGTCAGATCCGACTAATACGAGCCTCGATACCTTCTAGATTTCAAGCTGCAGAAGAAAGAAAGTGTTTCATTCAATACAACACCACATTGTTGGGGATTAACAGTATTACTGGGTGGGCCTGTTTATGTAAATCTGGGGCAAGAGTTTTAGGTATGTGTGGTCATGTCTATTCCTTTATATGGTTTTTATCATATGGCAGACACCATCCTGAAATAAAGGTAGATAATGTGATTGACGTTAGACGATAGCATCTATGCTCAATATCAGATATTCTCTTATATGACAAAGGCCACAGCATGCTGAATAAACCAGTTCTCGGTCGATTTTACCAATAAGTGTCCAAGTTAAATTGTGAAAATAACTGTTCGCATTTTACCATTACCTAGGTACTGTTTAGTTTTAGAACATTTTAACCATAGATTTAGTTTATCCACAATACTTATGAAAAGGTAGAGTGGGGTCCCTGTAGCCCCGCTGTCGTGACTCATTCTAATTTTAAATTATTATTATTATTATTAATAATATTATTATTATTATTATTATTATTATTATTATTATTATTATTATTATTATTCAGTCAATTATCTTCTTCTTTTGATGCCAAATCAGGTCTCCCCTCCCCTAACGTTGGCAATTACATTGGCGAGTTCGCTATTTTCATCTAATCTAAACAATTGTTCGGCACTACGTATTCTAGTCCAATCGCAAATGTTCTTTAGCCATGACATCTGCAGGGCCGCCGAGAGCCAGGTCGGGCCCCGGGACAATTCTCTACATCGGGCCCTGTCACAAAGAAACTTAACTACTTTTCGTTTAAAAAAAAATTACTTCTTCTTCTAAAAAAAAAGTCCTCATCTATAAAAATATTTTCTCCCTACTTCAATTACTTCTTCTAAAAACAAAAAAAATGTCCTCAGCCGCAAAAAACCCTCTAAGCTAATAAGCTAAAACTTTTCCCACCTCCCCTTTCTCTTATGTCGAATTTCTCATGCAGAAACAGATAACCCTTTTGTCGGGCCCCCCTTATAGAGCTTCCGGGCCCCCATTTGAGCCCGGGCCCCGGGAATTGGTCCCGGCTACCCCCCCCCCTTCTAGTCGGGCCTGGACATCTGCTTCATTCCAATTCATCTGCGGCCCACGATTATCAATGCTCAAAAATGCTGAAAAATGGAAAAATAACTTCCGTTAGGACATAATTTAGTTATTTCAGCAAAATATGGATTGAACATTGTTTAGAATACTTACATTTGTATATCCATTTCTGATGGGAGTAGTATTTGTTTTAGAATACAGAAAGAAAGTATTCTCAACTTGTACTAAGTACGGTCCTGTGCCTACTATATGCTTGTAAATCACAAAATAGTATTTTGGAGTTTGCTAACAATAATATAGTCGACTGTAAGTCACAAGCAGCGGTACACAGTTAAAATGCCACTAACTTAATAAATTGCTACTCCTATTATTTTTCATCTGCCAATTGAATCAATTCCAAAAAATCTAAAATAATTTTGTATTAAAAAATAACTATAATTTCTTTTAAATTGAAAATGTAAACCTTTAAATTCTTATATTGTTTTCCGGTAAGAGCAGAGGACAATACTACAATTTGAATTACTTACATTCTTGTTAATATTTGGTAAACGTTCATCACTTGCTATTGGATATCACAGCTTCGTACAGATATTCAAATGATTTGGGGCCATTTGTCTAGAAATAATAAAGCTTGGAATACTCAGCCCTCATGTTTTACAGTAGCAAAGTAATTTGTTATTTTGATTAACAAAAACTTTCGTTATTGCTCATCCAAAAATTACTTATTTAATATCATCGTCTATGTATAATTTCCTAAAAAAGATAAAGATCAAAGGAGTCACTAGTAGTTATTAGGTTAATGATTTCAGATTTCACTATATAAATTATAATAACTTGCAAGCTTGCTAACAAATGACAAATTAAAAATAAGCATTATTCATTACTCACCTCGACAGTGTAGAACTAAAATGCTGATACCTGATACGTTTTTTATTAACTATATCCTGTATCTCAATACTGGATTTAGGACGAATTGTGTTTTATGTTTTGGTTAATAAGTTTATATTTCTCTGTGGCTTACATGTACAAATTGTGAAACACATATTAATGAATATATTATCACTTGATAAACATGTGCCACCAGTCAAATATTAGCCCACATGACAGCTGGCCGCCATGTTGCCGAATCCTCCTTTTCAGTGCTTGTAATTATGTCGAAAAAGATATTTCAAAATTAAAAAAAAGTATGTTCCGGGACGTTTTAAAGAAAAAATTTTTTTTTAATATCGTTTAGTGAGAAAAATTTTATACGGGGTCGCAAAAAACCCAAAAAACGATACACTCCTTTGTAGTACAGTAGTGGTTTATTTTTATTGTATTTTTTTATATTTTCCTTACTAGTGTATGCAATTTGTTAAATGCAATTTTTAAGTTTTACTGTAATAGGAACTTTTCTAAAAATTACAGATTTTAATTTCACTATGATTTTAGCCACATTTTGATATTTACTGTGATATGAATTTTTACAAATCATTAATAATATTTATTTTTTTCTGAAAGCAATTTGCGGCTGTTGCTTTAAAATCAAAAACCATTTAATTCGAAACATTAAGTGTTTGTGCACATAATAATCTAAAAACAAAAATTAAAATTTTCGCGATAACTAACTCATTTACCCTATCCGCTAACAATAACAATAAAACACAACAATAACACCGAGATGAAATAATAACATTAGCAATATTACACTCGTTCGAGGGTGAAAAGTGAAGTGTTTTGTTCTTTCGCACCCCCGGCGCAGATGTGCACTTACAACTGGTTGCTCTTCACCGTCTCATGTTTACTTTAAACAGGTTGGTCAAGTGCTAACAAAATACTACGGGGCGTGCCGAAATAATATGCTGGAATTAATTCATGTACGCGAGCCCAAGATTTTTTGGGTTAGAACCATTCATTTCATTCTCACGTCCTGTCTTCCATAAATTTTTTGAAGAGGTCCCAGAAGGGGCACCTCATAATTGGGGCCCGTTAGGTCTCTGGAGACAAGGAAGTGAATATACTTTTAACACAACAGTTCATTGGGTATGATGTTAAACTCGTGAGAAAGAAAAATCTGTATTAATGGTTCACTGAAAATTCAAACTGGGTGGTGACCGCGTTTTTTAAAAATTCGACAAAATGTTATT